CCAGCCGAAATATAAAGGCGTATACTTTGAAATGTTGCTGTTACCTTAAAAGAGTAACTAGGTAACAACGCCTCACACACATATATATATATATATATATATAAGCTGATTGTAAGTAGGGAAGCCTAATAGAATGTAAAAGGAATCTGCGTGCCAAGAACAGCATCGTACAAGCAAATGTCACACTCTATCGGTATAGTTTCAATATAGACAGAATTTGTACTTCATCCATTTAGCCAATTTGTCTACAGCACCTAAATGATCTCTGTTATAAACCAATTGAGAACAATTAGTAAATATTGACTTTATGTAGGCTTGCCCAGATATATTTGGACTGGTATTTGTAGGTTGTGTCACCTGGGCAACGCAAATTACAAGTATAGTGCCAGACGCTGAACACTGGTATAACGTTCAAAATATTTAGGTTTTTCATAGCAATATGCGAAATAAAAGATCGCTTGATCAACCTTAGAGGCCCTATCCCTATTTTTTCAATCCGAAGTTAGCGTTTTAAGAGCTTTTTAATGCTAGCGTGTTCACCCATTTGCACGACCGTCGATGATTTCCAGCTAACTTTTGCATTATCCAAACTACTGAAACTATCCTGACACCCATGCAAAATGCGCCGTTAAGTAAGGACACGATCATGTATCCGTTAAAGTTTTGAACTTGCTACGTAGGGACTGCTTCCGACGCCAGAAAGTCAGTTTGATTCTCTTGCTGCATTGACACCAAATCACTTATAAGTTGCGGTAACGTTAGCTTGTACATACAAGCTGGTGTACTGCGCCGACATATCTTAATGACTGTTGATACCTGTGTTAACGTCTGAGAAGGAAGGTAAGATGCAATCGTCTCACTCAAGGAGATTTACGAATCTACTACATGAGGAATATGATGTTTGACTTGCAATAAGCTGGACGTCCGTCTTAAGATAACGTTACGGTTACTGTTGCACAAACTACCAGAACTGGCGCAAACGTCAACATAAGCGATAACTAGATCTTGTGCTATCGAGTAAATTAGACAAATACCTGAGCATTTATTTATATGTCGGGTAGTAGAAAAATAGCGCACTGTTTTATTATGCACTAGATATTGTGAGATATTTTTCTCCATGAAGTTTGTAACTTGGATCCTCTCCCAACTTTGAAAAATAAATTCTAATAGTTGTACAAGGCGCAAATTGCAGCCTTGCTACAGATAAAGATTGCTATTACTTGAGGAATGTTTGTTTTTCTGACATTCTGTATGGAAATGTACTAATGATACCTCTTATAGGTCTATACCATTTTGGCATCTTCAGTCGCCTTGTCGATGTAAATAAGACCTCGAAATCACCTTTTTGGGTATAACACCAAGGACTTACTTCCACTAGAAATCTAATTGCACTGGGTCTTGCTATGCCTATCGAGGGTTTTTTTTAACAGACCTTTAAAACTGCATGGCAACCACGCAAAAAACTATTAATAATTCCTTATTTTCCTCAGTTGTTTTGCTTTCCTGGTTTTTCATTGCTGGCAACCATTCTTGCCAACGCTGAGATTTAAACCAGTGTGACTGGTTGCTTGTCAGTTAACGGTTACCATAACAATGCACCCCATGCTAGATCTGTGTTTTACTGGGGTCCAACTGCAATCAGTCTTTATAAAACTCTGCCCTGCTTCATAGACTATTCATTTTATACTTTTAATTATCCATCTCGCTCTTACTTTATCGAGTACTAGCTATCCTGGATAGCTGACCGCAGTGATATTTTACTATCAAATTGAATTTTACGTTGGGAATCATTGATATATCGTCCATCTGTAAGTTTAATAAAGCCTTTATTTCTACGACAAAAAACGTCATTGGACTTGCAAGTTTTTAATCGAATTTTACTACAGGTTATAGGTTTAAATCAAATAAGGCTACTTGTGACAGTATTGGTAAATTGCGATAGTGCTTTTGAACAGAGAGGCGCAAGTATTGACGCTATACATACTTACTAAGTCTATTTTACTATACAGCATTACTGCTCCGCAGTTTGAAGGTCAATTAGATGCCCTATGGCCTGCAGACTAAAATAGAGGTTTTTACCTCCGCCGCCGATAAGCATTTAGTAGAGGCTATAACATCACGAAGTTTTAGCATTTACTTTTACGTGCCTAAGTTATGTTTATACGATGAAAGTCGGATTTTACCCAAGTAGCATGAATTGTGCGTATTAGTCGAGCATTTACTTGCTTTCTTATTTTGTGTTTCTTTTATCTATGAGTTTCGTTCTCCGATTCCATCGGACGTCAAGAAGTTCTTTCGCAATTTAGCGCTTCTTCTCGAAGTGTTGTAAATACGGTAACGCCGAGAAGAACTATAGAAACAGCTCTGTCGATCGAGCGCTGTCCACTCGTAGAATGAGGTTCCCTTTAAAGAATCTTGTCGCTTCAGGCAAGCCGTATTCATTGATAGGAAAACAGCTACATGCTTGCGCTACAATATCTCAAGTAAAATTATTAACCCTAACGAACTGGACGATGCTACCTTCTGTATAAGCGTAAGCCAGGTCGTCGTAGATGATTGATCATCTATCTGACATGAAAATGACACTAGCGATCTCAGGTGGGGGGACATCAACCAATGCAGAATCAAAGCTAGGTATAGCATGCTGCTAGATATGTTCCTGGTGTCGAGAAATAGAAATTAATACACTTGGATGTTTGCTAACTAAGTGTCTGCTAAAACCGGCTATTAATTCACATTTCGTTAACTAATCAATAGAACTGAAAAAAAAAAAATTATTTCACTGTTTGATATTTGTATCGATTGAGAACATATATGTATGTGCTGAATTCAGCTCGTTTCAATAAATGAGAGGATTAAAACTCATAGGCTTATATATCAAGCAATATGAAATGCCTGTACGGTAGGAATCAATTTCGTATATGTTACGCGTCGGACGTGCTAATGTATCAAACATGCTTGATGTTCTTTTAATGCCCATGAGAAAATTTTCTATCAGTCTGTCTTACTTACATATCTACTCACACCACATTAAATTTATTTCTCCTTCGCCTTTGAGAATTACAGATTTTGTTTTATTTCTAATGTAGAAGTTCTTGCTTGATATGTGTATCTTAGCTAAAGTTTGCCGTCTCTGATACCACAACGGTTCATTGGTAAGTTTCAGATCTGTAGTCGTAATGTAACGTAAATCACGTAACTAGAGGGAACTTCCAAGAAACTTTTAGTTGAAGTTAAGCGCAATCCGCTTCATTTTACTCGATTGGATACGTCTCATTTATTTATTTAGTTATAAGTCTGAGTGTATTACACTTTACAATGAAACAAAATATAATTTCATAAAAATTCATAAAATTCAATAACAAGTGCATTGTAAATAAATGGTAGAGTCAAAAACTTAATAATAGGTGGTGTTATTGACACTTGTTACTAGGAGGATCTTTGAAAAAGAATAAGAACTGATCTTATAAATAGCAAAAGTAGATATATTACATGTTCTGTTCCACACAGAGCGGCAAGCCATCGAAGACAATGCACCAATCATTCGTGTCGTACTATTCAATCTACAAGACCAGGATAAGAGCCGCTTGTGCACTGCGGAAAAGAAACCAGAGAATGAAAATGAAAACAGGTTTGCGTAATAACCTCAGCAAACAGCTTTTTCCATATTCTCGGTCTCTATAGATGAGTTTACGAACTTGTTTCGTATATTCGCGACGATGGTGTTCAACTCACCTCGTTACAAAAAATACACTTTTATAAAGCGAAAACTACAAATAGCAGATAACGCCTTAGTATTGCTGGCTGATCTTTTTGCATATATATTTAACTTATTAACTGATAGTGTCGTCGCATGGTTTGATCCTCTCAACCTACACATACCGTTGTCCATAGATACCTTGGAGGTTTTTAGATGGTTCCATGTTTGCGGGTCGATAGAGAGAACTTTCGATTTCGTTCGCTTCTCTATATCGGAAGCACAATGGAAACGACATCGAAGCCGTTCGTTGAAGTTTTATAAATATCTTGGTTCACTCGGCCTGACTTAATAAGTGAAGCTCGGATCATTTCATCCGACAACTTTCTCAATACCTCTAGGAAAATCGGCTTTACCCGATCCCAAGATATCTAAGAATTCTGTATTGTCATTGAAAACCAGTCACCTATATTCAATTTGAATTATTTTTAAAAATATATTAACTTATATATATATATATATATATATGAGTGTGTCTGAGATAAGCAACTGTAGAAGTCAAACCTCTGGTGTTTTTGCAAAACTTAGAATTTTGAAAAGCGTTTAGAGAAAAAGGGCAATTTCTGGCAACACAGAACGCCTTTACATAAGGTTATGATCAGATAGTCTAGATGTGATTGCAGTAATAAAATGTATATGGCTGAACACAAGAAGAAAAGACGTTCGCTACTAGCGATCTACTTTCCGTTTTACCATCTATTGAGAACGTATTTTTTTAATTAGTATCTATTCAAGTTGGATACATAAAAAATGTACCTTAAAATAATTGTTTATATCTTTATATATAGAACGTTATATACATATATGTATATAAAACATATAGAACGTTACCCCGGAGCCCGAATTTCATTTATGCTAATGAAAAAGAAGAAAAAAAAATAAAAATAAACATGCTCATAGGACCAGCTTCAGGGAGCGTATGGTGGCTGACGGCAGAAGCTCCTACCCATGCTCTTCATTATTGCTTAACTCCGTCGCATTCTCGTGGTCGTTTGAGGCGTATTTGGTGTATGGCCACCAACAGTAGCTGTCCCTATGCCACTTCTTTCATCGTTGCAATTGTCACGATTCCTGATACCTGCTACAACATAGGTAAGTGACATACCTACTTGCGTAGCGTCCCTTCTCCGTAGTGAGTCCTCTCCACTGGGTAAGGGAGGCTATGAGCACGCGGGTTACCGGCCCAGCAAACGGCCAGCAGCTGGGCAGGTTCCAGACAGTGGGCCCCGCAAGCAGCCAAGACATGGAGCGTCTACCTGTGTGAACGCAAGGGATCGGCGATTGCAGACTGGGAAGTTTCGCTTGAATTTCGCTTTGAGAGGAAGACCCTAAAACAGCTCTGTAGTGGTAGCAGAAGACAACGTAAAGATAAACGAAAGATAAAAGGTTGCCTACAAATGGCTTTGTGTTTCGACAGCGCCACGGAAAAGTTCTAAACTTGAGACAAATTTAAAGTTATTCCATGCGTCCTGTCTATTTTGCTAGTTCCCTGTTCGGGTCAAGACGCTTGGGGCTGAAGGTGTCGGCTAGCGTGTGTGGCGAAGAGAAACAAGTTGTTCGAACTGCCTCTACTAGCAGGTGAATCGAATCAGTGTACATGATGGAGTAGAGTAAGGATTTAATCTAGGATCAGATCACAAAGGCAAGCATTCGGCAACAACATAATACAGACGGCACGAGTTGCTTCTCGAATCGCAGCAGACCTAGAGGTGTTGAGTACCGGCAGTACTTACTGGGGAACTAAGCAGTTATCGTTGAAAAGTTTAAATAACCTCATCGATTTCGAAAAAAAGCCAGGATAACATAGTGAGGTCTCCTCACGTACAGCTGTAGTAAGTAGTGTGACTCAGTTATACGTCCAATACTGAACAAACAGTAAAAGGAAAACAGCAACACCGGATTGGAAGTCGCAGTCAGTGTGAAGCCAGGTCGTTTCTATATTCTAACTTGCCTACAAAATAAGCTATCTACCTATTTGTCCTTCGATTTCCTTCCTTCTCTTCAACCCATTTGTCTCTCATTCCTTTAACGTCGAGACAACCTACCGAATCTGTTTATAGGGGACGTCGCTGTTTCCAGCTCGCTTTCACCATTGTGCCAAATGAGCTGCTGCCGCTTGGACGACGCATCATAAGCAAAGCTATGAATAACAGAAAAAAAATTAAACAGGAACCTAAAGGCAAAGAAAACAGTTCGCTAGGCTAATTCATTGATAGTCAAAGAGGAAAAAAAGCACGAAGAAAGTGACGCGTATCACTATTGTTAATGCATGCTTCGTCACAAACCACTTTTACTGCTCGCTGCGATTTCACCTAAGTAGTGGCAGAACCAGCAAAAGTACGGCAGTGCTGAGAACTTTCGTGACTCATTTAGCACGAAGAAGGGGCTAACTGATCCGAAATAACCATCAATTATAGAAGGACACAGAGACAACAACAACAACAGCCGATGGTGCAACTATTATCATTATCACAACAGCAAACTTGCAAAACTTAATCGTCGGCGTAAGCTTGGTGCAACTTTTATCGCGCATCTACGAGACATCACTCGACTACTGTCGATCAATCAATCGTCAATCAAAGTCAAGCTCTGTTGACCGTATCGTTCGTATCGGCGTACCACAATCACATACGTGACAATCCTCTATCCCATGGAATTGCCGTCTTTACTCGCACTGCCAGAGTTAGCATTGTCAGCAACAGTCGCATCAGAAATAACAAGAGCTACGCTACAAACAGCGAGAGCCACGCATTGATGTTTAGTCTATCATATACACATTTACATATCTAGCAAGCGCAAACTTTATTGAATCCTAGAGTTAAACTAGAACAAACGACGGGATGACGGTAGTACTAGTAAAAATAATTTTACGCAAGAGGAAACCTGCAACTAACTAAAAAAGCGCCTAAAAATAGGCGAAGAAGCACCCAGTAAGAAGCAAACTAGCCTATCCGAGATCAGCAAAGGAGATAGCCATTGTTGCGTTAGTACAAAATGACTAGTCATCTTATCTCGAACGAAGTGGCCTGACGCATGCCCTACAAACAATAGCCCGACGATTTCGAACGAAAAAAACTTTCAAAAAATACCAAAAAATCAACAGTGACAACAAACGGCACCTTTATGATACGCTGACGAATCAAGCACTTTGAATAAGCGTATCCGATATATTAGACGTTCGATTGGTTTTGTCGCAGTGTGAGCACTATCGCTAAACAGAATAAATTCGTCACCGTAAAAATGAGCTACGGGAAAGACAAAAGTCGAAAACGATCTACATCAAACTGGATGTAACAGTAACAGAAACAGGAAATAGTAATAGCCTGTGGAGCTAATAACAGGAGAAAAATAAAACCCTGTTTTGTTGTCACCTGTTCTATTATATTGGCTCATTTTATCTGAGATTTAACTCGTTTCGGGATTTATTCAGACTTGCTCATTTGGTTGGTTAATTTGGACTTGATTTTTAAAAGTGCAGCAGCAGAAATAGCGGTAACAATACGACTGAACTTATCTGTCAGCAAAATTGGCCCACGTACCTTTTGTGAGGATCTCCAAGTTGATTGATGGATGCTACGTTGCCTATTTTCTTCATTGGCTTTGTATCGGCTATTGATTGATGAAAATTGTATATATGAATAGTAATAATAAAGCTAATAACAAAAAGTGACGCCGTGATTTATGTGGTCGAGTGCGTTAAACACGATGTATCCTAAATTATAGTGAGCTATTATAATCGTGTTAGTGTGAGACAAACGACGTTCGTTTGAAGACGCTGATTCTTTTTGTGTTCTTGTAAATCCACCGACGTACGGAGCAGTTCGCCTATAGACGACAAAAATGAAGCTGATTCTGACGATTGGCTTCATTTGTACAGTGATACCAATCAGCATCTCGCTCAGATCGTAAGTTTTAGGCGCGTGCCCACACAGACATGGGTAAAAAACACTTTTTCCATTCGTTGAATCATTAGTAATTGATGAATGCTACTTTGGATAACGAGAGACGAGATTGCGGGAGCTTGAAGTTGAATTTGTGGGTAATCACAAATCTTTGTGGTATAATTATCACACTACGAGACCAGATATCAAGGTGACCCTTTGTACAGCTAAAGTAACAATAAGTAACTTAAAAAGTAAAAGTAAAAGAAAATCAATCTAGTGTTGTGTTAACCTTTTTAATATTTATCGTGTTTTTACTCTGTCAGAAATAGAAATAGTGTAAAGTATTCTCTATAGTCTTTGGAGAAAATAACCTCATTTTGAGTACAGAGGTCTTCTACCAAAAACACTACATATGCGAAAATACAGGCTATACTATTCGATATATGATATGCTACATAACAGGAAGTGGAAGGTGCACAGGAAGTACTTAAACATCGTTGAATTCTTGCTGGGGAAACTAACCTCATATGAATTAGTTTGGTCGATCGCTTCTATATAGTGGACTGTTACTTATGGTTTCACGACGTTTGGAACAAACAATCCATTAAATTTCGAAATAATAATAAACACGTGTACAAATCTGTTAAGGTTTATTTCGAAAAATTGCCGTTCAAAACAAAGAAGTTAACGTAAGACTATTGTTCTTTCGAATTATTGGTGGTCTTGCTAGCAGGTAAATTTATGCGTAGTCGCATGTATCATAATATGATAAACCAATGAGTAATTATGCTTCGCTTATCTCTGCCAATCATTTTCTTGGATCGTCAGAAAATCAACTTTGCCAGTGTTTGGCAACATTATAGCATAAAGTTGATTTTGGCGACTAGCATGAGCTGCATTTTGATACCGATTTCCATTCCGCCCGAGTTAGAGGTATGGTAATTGTGCGGTGCTGTCCCACATAAAAGTACAGCCTGTAGACATAAACCACGATGACAAAATTTGAAATTTCTCTGACCTACGCTCAGAAGCCAAACGAATACGGATAGTTACTCCCAGTGGAACAGTTGTTATAAAATGGATGGCCTTTTGTTGCTGCTGCTGCTGCTACGGACAGAGCACTTATCATTGATAACAATAGAGAAAAGAAACATGGTCCCCAGTAGCAGTCTGTTCGTTGGTCTGAAACATGTGCGATGGAAGTATCACTATTATTATTATTAGATACTAATTGATGTTGCTCTCGATACGTCGCCGCCGTTGTTCAACACAGATAAACAGTATATGCTTTTTCTAGTTGGTCTACGTATTAAAACACTATGTCATAGTGCGTTTTTGTGTGGGCGTGTATCCACACACACACACGTGTCCTCATTTCGTTTTTGTTCATACTACGATCGTTTTTGAATCGCCGTTTCACTTAAAAGACGGATTTATAAGTAAAATGTAACGTCTAGTAGAACATAAAGAGTACAATGATGATGGTGAGTTTTCGGTGAATTATAGGTGCATTGCTTACCTTTCACCTTAAAAGTTAGCTGTCCAAGTTTAACACGACAATCTCTTGTAAACTATTGTCTTGAATATAAGCAGAGAGTATTATTATTATTTTTGTTCTGCATCATACCGGATTACTACAAGTACCTATATACGTACAAAAAAAAACTATCGTGCATTTGTCATACTTAAAATGAAAATAAACAAACAACAAGCAAATAAGCGTTAAACTATTGACACTCGACGTCTCTACCATTGTTCCAATAAAACCGTCCACTTAGTAAACTCTTTCAAAAGCAATACTGTCATCGGCCATTTGCGCCATCACCCTTATTCTGGCCAGGGCCAGTTTTAATAGTAATGCATACGTGTAACCACTTATTTGTTACAGTAAAGGGCATAAAAGCAAAACTTTGACTAGGAACGACGAAGTAAGAGGGCAACACAGACAGACAGACAGACAAAACGATGCTTATCGAAGCTACTCGCATCAGTGGCGTTTTGCGACGGGCTTATGAAGATACAATGGGATAATCACTAAGTGACGTCGGCTGAGGGCGTTCTGTCCCTAACCTCACTAAACTGTGAAAGGCCGAAGGCGGGGGCTTGCCAACAACAACAACGATGTTTGAGCTACCAAGGTTGAGAAGAGAGTAAGGCAAGCGGAGACGGTCCGAAAGAGACTATGGTCTTCTGTTCGATATGGGCACGTCTGATTAAATTGCGGGCGTTCTTCGAAGTCTGAATCAGCAAGTGGGCCTGAGGCTTTTACCAGCATGCTACTGATGGCAAAGGACGAAGTCAGAAAATTTTGCTGCAATTCACAAAGGATGTTAAAAATAGCCGCATGTCGACTTGTAGTAACAAACTGAGGCACAAAAGGTGGAGGGGTAGAAGAGAAACGATAGACAAAATGTGGCAACTATTCTGAATCGATGCATTGATTTTTCTGATAGAGCCGTCCAAAAAAATGGTACCAGAAGCCTTCAAGCATTGAGCATACGGTGTCACTAGATGACAATATGCGTACTACAGGGTACGACGATTATCTGAACTTCTGGTACACACTTTGCCTTGGGCAAGGTCGCCGCTGCCAAGCAGTCTACTTTTGTGTAACGTAAAAATTGACTAGACATCCGTGCCTGCAATGGATCATAATACAAATATCATACATGACCATATATATAACTTAATATACGACGGTGTAATTAGTAAGTGTTTATTGTTTCGGTGCGTTGTGTGGGGAAAGACAGAGTGATGCTCGCAATTAAGAAGTACTTGCAGCGATTGGGTATGGAACTTTTCTTAAGATTTTCCAGCTTATTTCTGCTCTTTTCATCTATCTGTTCATTGCGCCAGGAATAACGGAACCGGACGGAAGCGTTGAAATCAAAATAACCTTGATCTCATTGAATGGTCACTTTGCTTTGAGGCAACAAGGTGCACCCAGAAAAACTGTCTCTGTTGTACAAGGACGTACGAAAAGTTTCTGTTAGCGTTGCGAAGATCTTTTTTCTTCAATGAACGTGTTTAAATCATAGAATAATGCAAAGATGATTTGTTAAAGCATATTTTGTTAAAGACTTCTGAGCAACTAACAGTTGCTTTGAATAATAGCTCAAAAAATATAGCAACGCAGTCACATGTCGGGTGTTCATTTTAATAGAAACAAGTGAGATTGTTCTAAAATACAAAAAAAATATTTGCTGGTACTTTGTTCATTCAATACGAATAGTACAACGACTGTGGCTTGGATTGATAAAAAAAAAAAACTGAGAATGACGTGATCAAAATGTTTACAAACAAAGTCCGCTCTGTGACTCATTTATTCAAAATGAGAAATCTTGAGCGACTGCAGCTCAGCATTATCGGCGATATTGCTCGCACTATGTTTTTATTACGGGCGAAGATCTAGTCACCCGATTTACTGCCACCTACAAAACATAGTTTATATATGCTATCGGTTTTCCAAACGCTTGCACGTCTATCCGTTAATCAGAACTGTATGTGTGCTCAACTGAAATATCCTATATCAATTAGTATATCTTTAAAAGCTATTCCAGTTCTTCATGAAGTACTTATACATTTTTAGCCTCCTCAAGGGTCTGACTGGCTGTTGCAAAACGCAAAAACGACTGAATTGGAGACATGAGGGATTCGGATATCTTCGTTTTATTATATATATATATTTCCAACAGCTAGTCGCCGCTTATAAGGATCGATATGGAATCCTCCGCACAAACGGAATAAGGTTTTTAGGTTAGTTCTCTATCCCTTTATGGGCTGCAAGCAGACAAAGGCTCATCGAGAAACAGCCGAGATAACTTTTCGGGAGTTGGCAGTGTAGCTCAAGGTTACTATAGCAAAATTTTCTATTCGGTTGAACTTACTTGTCGCATATGGCTAACCCGTTGATAACGGTTTAGCTCTTTATCAAACAAGAATAATGTGATATTCGAACTTCACTGCCGTATAAAGTAAATGCCCACTTAATTGATCTCTCTGCAACAGCCCAGCAAAACAGTGCGCATCTCGAGGACCATGTATTTTGGCAGAATTGGCCCTTGTGCTCCATAGAATTAACACAATATGTTGCTCAATGTAAAGCATGAAATAACGAATCTGGCTGAGGTAGGCCCTGCCGATTACCAAGTACCGGTTACATCTTTTGTCAATTATGATGGATAGGACAACCGACAAGCAACAAATGCTGCAACGGCGTCTAATTGCTACGCCGAAAGTGAATTAGGTCTCGCTGAATCGTAGCAATACTCCCTTGACTTACTGCCAGCTAATTATATAAACATGTCCAAATTGCTATTTGTACCATGTTAATCCCACGGTGGAGCTCTTACTATTTATGCGAGCTGCTGCTTGCAGAATATTATACAGTGTTTCGAATCGATGGCCGTTTTTCATGCCGTCCGGTACATCGACGGCAAAAGAGCTCACCAACGATCCTGTTTATACATTCGTTATCCATATTTACACGAACAATTATTAGAAGTTACTTAAACTTACTCAGTTGGGTTAAATGACGTAGTTGTCTACAATATAACTGTTTGTTTAAACGCAATAGAACACTTTTTGTATGAATGAGGTTGATCGTTCGCCACTTCAGTCGCTAGCGGTTGGGTGTCAGGGCCAACTCCGGGGGCTTATCTGCCCCGCGGCTCCGAGTCTGAGCGTTGTTTCGAATCCTTAACGATCTATATTATCCTAACACAACCGCTAGGTAACACAGTTCAAACACACAATATACACTACTCGTATCGTTGCCACCCGACAGGTAGCTTATTCTTACGAGGCCGTTTAATTGTATTGTCTAGAAAAGCAGTCGCAACCTATCGAAACAGTCGATGTAAAACGTAAACACTGATTTGTAATTGTACCAACAGCACATCAATAATACTATATATTAAACATAATCCTCTATAGTTTGAAATCTTTTTGGTGTACCTTGGTGTTTTTCCTTGAGTAATTGTTCCCTAGGCATTTGCCTTTCAGAAGACCCAATTCTTGTG